AAAGAAAGAAAGAAAGAAAGAAAGAAAGAAAGAAAGAAAGAAAGAAAGAAAGAAAGAAAGAAAGAAAGAAAGAAAGAAATGGTCAGAATGAGGGGATAAGTGTGTTTGAAGCAGTGGGGAGTTTTTGAGGGGGACTCATAGCAGTGTGTCTTTTACTGTAATAGATCTCTTTTTAAAATTGTAAACATTCAATATATGTCTCGATTGCACTGCATAGGTATACCTGACTTGAAAACTTATGTAAATCCAGATTAAAGAGCATTTGCTGGACACAAAATATTTTTTAAAGTCTTCTAATAAGCATCCCTGTTGAGATACGCCACACACTCCAGCTCACTCCTGCTGCTCTGTCCCCCCACAAAACCGCAGTCTCAGCCCAACTGGAAAACTCCCCAGCACCCCCGCTACCCCCAACACAGTCGCCGTGGCCATGAACACTCATACTTGAGAAGAGAGAGCCACATAGGCTGTGCTGCCTGCATGCCTGGCATCTGGAGCTGGCCAAGTGGAGCCATGCCTGTGGTCCCTGCTCCTGGCTGGCACTCCCCCCTCCCCACCCCTACTATAAATAACCCCCACCCCCACCCCGCTGCGGGCTGCCAGGCTGTTACAGCAAGAGTTTCCATGAGGTCAGCTTCCCAGAGGGGCTCCCAGCCCCCACCGCACTCACCTCTGGCGGAGGCCTGTGGCCGGCTCGCCCCTGCACAGGGCTGTCCCTCGAACTATGCTTCCGGCGGGCAGGAGGTGTGGGCACCTGGGCAGAGGCTTGAGGTGGGACCTGCCCGGAGCTCTGGGTCCCACAAGCCGGGGCTCCATTTAAGGAAGCGGGGGGCTGGCTGTCGGCGCAGGGCTCCCCTTTGGGCTTTGGAGGGGCAAATCTCTTCCTGTTGAAAGGCCGAGCAGGCTGGAGGGCCAAGGAGGGGGTGTGCTGGCCAAGACTGGTGGGCATCTCAGCACCTCTGGACCTGATGGGTGCCTTCCCAGGAGTACCCTCTGCAGGTGCCCTGACACTAGGGGGCCGGGGCTCCCCCTGCCCCTGAGGCTTGGACGCCAGGGTGCTCTCCATATACATGTCCTTCAGGGAGAAATACCCCTCCTGGCCTGGGCCCGGGGCTGGGGTGGTGGCTGGGGCCTGGGCAGGGCTTTGGGCAGGGGCACTGTGGGCCCCGTCGTGAGTGCCCACAGCCGGGGCTGACTTCCTGACACTATCCGTCCCGGGGGACCCAGCTGCCCAGGCTGCCCGGCCCCTGCGCGGGGCCTGGACCTGCCCCATGCCCACGGGCCCCTGTGTCCCACTGGGAGCAGGCTGGTCTGAAGGGACACAGCTTTCTGCAGAGTGGCGGCTTCGGGCTGCCTTCTCCGACTCTGGTGTTTTTAGCCCCGGCTTGGCTTCCTCGTCTTTCCTTTTCTTCTTAGCCCTGGACTCCTTCTGGGGGGCTCTTGGCGGCCCCCGCTCCATGGCCTCGCAGATGTAGGTCAGCAAGCCGTGCTCCCCGTCCTCACCATTCTCTGGCACAGGCTCCCCGTTGGTGGGAGCCTCACCGGGAGCAAAGCTGTTCATCAGACCCAAGCTGCGGTGCTGAGCAGACTCGGTCTCGCCCTCCTGCCACGCTTCCAGGGCCTCATCCTTAGCCTCCCTGGGTGGGAACGGGGCCGAGGGGACAGGCACCCCGGGTCCACTCAGGCGCCTCTTGCGCTGGAAGCGGTCGGGGCTGAGCTTGCGCAGTGCCTCGGCCTCCCCAGGCGCCTCCTTCCCCTGCCGCCAGCTCTGTTCCAACTCCCGCATCTTGGCTGCGGCCTTGCGCTTCAGCTTGGCGAACCAGCGCTGGTGGATCTTGTACTCCGTCATGGTCCCTACCTCCAGGACCCCCGAACAGGACACAATGCCCTTGCTGTTCCGGGCAGAGGCCTGGTAGATGGCAGCATCTTCTTCTCGACACCTAAAGGCAGGAACATGAGGTGAGTACCACAGCCCACCTTAGACATCACCTCCTACCACACCCTCCATTCTGGGGGAGGAAACGGAGGCCAAAAGAGGATGGCACCTGCCCAAGGTCATGCTGTCCCTGGAGGGATTAGACTCCGAGCTCAAGAGAGCTCTCTTCAGGAGCAGGTGACCAGCACGGCCCCTTGTGAAGTAATGGTGACTCAGTTGCTTTTTTTGGCTGCTGACTTCATGGAAAATGTTTCACTGGGGTTGCTCTCAGCTCTGTGGCTGTCAGAGATACTCCCTCCCTGGCCTCAGGAGATCCCAGGCCTTGGAAGGCAAACATAGCTCACCAGGTGGCCCAGCCGGGTGCAGGACCCTCTCTTCTCCTCCAGAGGGTGTCTGGCCATCTCCACTGGGGACACTGTGCCCCAGGGTGGGGGCAGAGAGTACGTCACACCCTTCCCCTCACCTGTACAGCTGCAGGGTGTGGCGGTTGCCCTGGTGTGTGATCTCGTACTTAGGCAAGCCACAGTAGCGGTCCAGTTCTGTGTCATCCTTGTACCAGGTCACCTCTGGCTCTGGGTACCCTGAGGAGGAAACAGGATACTGAGCTGCAGTAAGGTAAGGTCCAAAACAGTGGGAGGAGAGAATGAAAGGCCCGGTTGCCCCCAGACCATCCGCCCTGGACCTGCTGGACCCACAGGCTCCCTGTACAGCTCAGCCAACATTTTAGTAACTACGGCCTGTCACAGCTGAGCCCTGGAATAAAACGTACAGGAGAAATTGCCTCGCCCCCTGCTTGGAAGAGAAGTGTGGAATTTCCAGAAATCCTTCACTGGTGGTAATCTGTTTCCTCTCTACAGTAATCCCACAACCCCAATTACAGCGAAGGCTCTGTCCTCTCCCTCCAGGGCCATCACTGCCCAGAGCCCTCCTACTTTTGCCCCCAGTTCCTGAGCTAGATTAACAATGCAGCTAAACCAGCCATTTACCCCCTGCCCTTTCATTCATATTTCATCCTTCTACCCACCCATCCATACCTACAAATTCACTGTAGTGAGACCCGCTGAGGGGTCTTCCCAGCCCCTCTTCTCTGGGGTCTCCCAGCCACCCATGAGGAAGAGCCCCTCACTGTCACAAACACACGTCTTGCCTCCCTGGCCACAGCTGAGTGGCCAGGGAAGGTGAGTTCCCTTCCGCGGACCCCGAAGCAGGTAGTCTCATCCAGGCTTTGACCTAGCATTCGGGAGCGAGCACCAAGAGACAGCCTACCCCTGTGTCTGGATATAACTTTGAAGGGGTCAGACAGCTACAAAACACATAAAGCTGATTTGCAGTGAGAGAGAAAAATGAAATTGATGTTCAGGATAGAACAAGGGGTAGGAGGCAGAGAACCCCAGCAGCTTCCAAATCTGGATTCCAGTCATGATGAACGGAGCCGCACCCCCCAGGTCCAGCCCAAGAAGCTCCTCCTCTAGCCAGGGAGTTCTTCTTCTTTTCTGACTCGGGCGCCAACTGACCAGCTTTACTTGGTAGACCCTCATTCCAACATATGCAAGCGTGAAGGCCCAGCCTCTGCTCTCAGGAACGACTGCACCGTAGAAAAGATAAGACCGGCGCTTGGCAGGAGAGCCACACGCAAGGTGCCTGGCATCTACACACTCCACCTGCCTATGGCCGGCGGATGAACCACACTCCCCTCCGCATCGAGGCCACCTCTCCGGCCCTCATTCTTGCTCCGTCTGCTTCCTGCACTCTACCTGTTTACCGTACCATTCCCGGCACCATCGCCCTTCCTTAAAAGAACTGCATTTGTCTCTATATCCTCCTTTAGATCCTGCCATCTCTCTCTTTTACAGACTAGTTCTTTTTTTTTTTTTTTAATTTAAAAGAGCAAAAGAAGGACAACATAGCAATAGGGGGATTCACCGAATTACAGACAAAGTGGTAGGACATTATCAATGTTTGTTATTTTACCTATTGGTATCTTCAAGATGGTTTCTCAGGAAAACAAATAGACAAATAATAGTGAGCTACAGACAAAAATGGTAGGAAATTAGCAATGGTTGTGGTACTATACTTTGGTTTCTTCAAAGTGGTTTCTAGGGAAAACAAATAGAGCTGTACATGAGTGATCAATTAAACAATCATTGACTATTCTCAATGATAGTAATAAACATACATCCAAAAATAGCACAGGAACAATAGAAACATTACAGAGTTATGGACAGATTGGTAGGAAATTATCAATGGCTGCTGTAATACATGTTGGTATCTTCACAGTGGTTTCTCAGGAAGACAGAGATACGCAAGAAAGATCTAACAAATAATTACAGCCTAAAGGATGTGAAAAATAGCGGATTACCTCCTCATCAGTGACTCTTTTCACTGAGGTGTGACAGCTGGAAGGAAGGCCAGGATTGAAAAGAAGGACCAAGAGATTAGCACAGGTGTCCAGCAATAGGCTGTTTACTTTTCCCTCTATAGTCATGATTATGCAGGGCTCCTCTTGAAGATAACAGTCTGGCCAGAGGGAGAAGGCAGAGTATGCCCTGGGCCCCTTCATTCCTGTTGGACCAGCTGGTAGGAGGGGTCTGAGCTCTGAAGCCTTCTCTTTAGACGGCAGTCCAACCTCTAGTGGTCACCTTTACAGTCAGGGCATGGTCCAGGGGGCTTCGTAGGGCAGTCCCTCTTGAGGTAGCCTGGCTTTCGACAGTGATAACAGATGAATGTAGTCATCGAGTTTTTCTTGGGGCCCCAAGAATCAGTCTTAGGGTCTGTTTCTCTTAGTGATGCAGCAAAGGCAGCTGCTTTTTTTCAGTCTCTGTTTTCTCTCCTTGGCCTCCTCCTCCTCACAGCTATAAAATACTGAGGAGGCAATTCTTACTAACATCTCAAGTGAGCTATCTGGGGCAAAAGCCATTTTTTGTAGCTTTTTTCTATTTGGGGCTGACTGAGTAATAAACTTATCTGTAAGAATAGTTTGTCCCTCTACTGAACTGGGATCCAGGGAAGTATGCTTTATCAATGCCGCTTGTCTAAGAAAGCAGAGGGGTGTCAGAATAGTTCTTTAAAAGAGCCGTTTGAAGCCAGGTTGGTGGTGCACAGCTATAGTCCCAGCACTCTGGGAGGCTGAGGTGGAAGAATTGCAAGTTCGAGGCCAGTCTGTGTAACTTAATGACATGCTGCCACAAAATAAAAACTAAAAAGAACAGAGGGTGTAGCTCAGTAGTAGAACCCCCCTGGATTTTGAACCCCAATACAAAAAAAAATTGCTTTGAGATTAGGCGAGGTGCTACCATCCTATAAACTCAGCTATTCAGGAGGCTGAGGTGGGAGGATCACACTTAGGCAACAAACAAAGACACCATCTATAATAATAATAATAATAATTAATAATGAGTTCCCTGTACTTGCTGTCATCACTCCCTTTCCTCCAGCCAGGCCTCTGTACCCAACACTGCCCCAGAATTGCTCCTGTCAAGGACACCCAAGAATTGTACCTGGCCAGTGCCAAAGGCAGGTCTTACATCTCATCCATTCCATGGGGCCACTTCCAAGAGGCTCTTTCTCCTTTCAGCTGTGCCCCCAACTCCAGGGCCCCCCATTCTGGTCTCTTTCATGGTCCTCCCTCACCACCTAGACCAGCCCGGGGCTCAGGGCTTGACGCCACTGACAACCCAGGGACCAAATCCCGCCCTGGCTTTTGAAGGTCTGTGCACGCATGACCTCTGCTCTCCACATCTAGCCCAGCCTCTCCCTGCCCACCCACCTCTGACCCCTGCCCCGCAGCTGTGTGCACACTTGACACTCTCACAGGCCGTGCGCCACCTCCTTAGCTCCTCTCCCCATCTGCCCCGCAGGCCTCAGGACATGCGCCAACCTCCTAACAGCGTGAGCCAGCTGTGGCGTGGTGACCGCCCTCTGTCTGTTCTTCCTCGCACAACCTCTTGGTCCAGCCATCCTATTGGCCCTCCCTTGGGAAGAGCTCCAGGAGCCAGTCACCACCATCTTTTCCCACTTGGGTTTCACCAAGGTCCCCACTGCCACCCTGGCCACTTGGCAGCCCAGTCTCATGCCAGCAGCCAGCTTCCTGCTGGAACACTGAGCAGTGCTGGCTGTAAAGCGAGCCCCGAGTTTCCATTGTGAGCTAAAAGCCCTGGTTACATCACTGCGCATGTGGCCCCTGCCAGCGCAGGTGTCCCCACCACCCAGTAGGATGACCTCATCCCACCAGGTCCAGACAGAGCCACCCACCCCACGACCGGGCAGCACAGCCCCAGCTGCTGGGACACCTGGCAGGTGGGGGGCAGGGCGGCCAGCGGGGCCATCGGCAGCTGAGGGCTTCCCAGCAACAGGGAGCCTTGGTCATGGAGCGATGTGCAGAGTTCAGTGCCTGTCCCCTGGGCTGCATGAGCTACCCTAAAACACAGCCCGGTGGTGCAGGCAGACATGCACACGTGCGTGTGCTCACAGCAGGGGTACCTGCACACACACGTGCACACAGCAGAACTTGAGCCCTCCGTCCTCACAGCCTGTGACCCCCTATCACAGCCCAGTGTCAATGCAGACATTTAACTCAGAGCCTCTTCCCAACCGGCCCCCGTTTACAGGAGCTCAGATTCAGGAGGAGAAGAGTCGGAAATGTAGGTTTTCAAAAAAACTTCCAAATACAGAACTTTATTTGGCCCTCAGAACAACCCTGTGCAAACAGCTGCTGATGGTCTCTGCCAGCATCACTGAGGACCAGAGACTGAGCTGAACTCTCTTTGTGTATTACCCCATCTACTCCTCAGAGAAACTCCAGAAGGAGCACCTGGTCCTAACCCTCCACTGAAGGAAGAGGAAAACAGGCTGGTGAAGTGAAGGCTCCCTCCCAAAGTCATCTAGGGAAGAAGCGGAGCAGCCAGCATTCAAGTCCCTCTCTGCTACAAAATGGCAAATTTTTATCTGCTTGTTTCTTTTTTGTAAAACTGCTTTTGGTTTCTGTCTTGTGCTCTGAGTAATTCCTTTTCTTTTCTTTTTTTTTTCTTTTTTTTTTTTTTTCTTGTCTTTTTGAGACAGGGTCTCACTATGCAGTTCAGGCTGGCCTTGAGCTCACTTTGTAGCCCAGGGTGGTCTTGAATTTGCAACAATCCTCCTGCCTCAGCCTCTGGAGTGCTAGGATTATAGGCATGCACCACCATGCCTGGCAAAATGGCAGATTTTTAAACCCCAGTTTATACAACAGGAAAACGAGGCCCAGAGGAGCTAAATAACTTGCCTGGGGTTACACAGCTGGCATGTGCCACAGCCCCAGGTTTCCTTTTCCTTTTTCCAGTGCTCTCTCCAATGAGGATTCTGATATTAATATATGAGTCTTTTCTACCAGCTGTCATCACATTAGTCTTATTTCCCTGAAAAGAATTTCTTTGGAAACTTGATTCTTTCTAAAAACTCAGCGTCTTGCTCCCATCTGCCTCCTGCTGATGCTCCTGCTTCCACCCTTGGGCACAGCCCTGCAGGGAATGCGCAGCGGGGCAGAGGACAGTGGCGGAGGCAGCCACCGTGGACAGAGATGCTGTCTCAGGACAGAAGCCCTCTGAGGCCCGTCAAGCCCAGCCTCAAGGGAAGATTCCCGGAGCCTCGTCCCTCCTGCAGGCCCCCAAGTGCATCCCACCCCTCAACCGGCAGGGCCAGGAGCAGGTGCTCTCCTTGCCTAGACCAGACCCTAACCCCCAGGAAAGTGCTGGTCGCCTGTGTCTGGCGGGCCCTTGGCAGCTGCCTGTCCTGGCCTGTTTAGGGGATACTGCTGGACAAAGGAGGAGATGGGTACCCGTGGCCACTGTCTCCACCGGATGAGCTGGGGCAGCATGACAGTGTCACAGGAAGGCCACAGCTGGTCACCACCAGCCACCTCTCCAGGCTGGGAGACCTGATTTCTGTTTCCTTAGTTCCTAGAACCTTCTGCATCTTGTCGTCTCCCTCTTCCCCTTTCCTATGATCTACCTTTTCTTCCTGGTGGCTGGAAAGGGCATGTTTATGGGACACACTATGCTAATCTTTCCTAATATGTTGCATTCAATCAGAGATGAGTAAGGAAAGGTACCACAGAGGATGAGGTGTGGAAATGGGTCAGCCCTGTTGACACTGCAGACCTTGGCAGGAAAGGTCCCTTCTGGCTGGCAATCACGAGATGCAGGGAGAAAGTTTACTCCAGTGGGTTAGACTTGAAGTGGGGGAAGAGCTTATTCCCATGATGACACTGGGAACAAAATGCTCCCAGACTTAGAAGGTGGAGTCAAAAGACAGAAGAGGCACACCCCTGTAATCTCAGCACTCAGGAGGCTGAAGGAGGAAGATAGCTATGAGTTCAAGGCCAGCCTGGGCTACAAAGTGAGCCCAAGGCCAGCCTGAGCTGCATAGTGAGACCCTGTCTCAAAAAGGCAAAAAAAAAAAAAAAAGGAGAGGGAAAGATGAGAAAATAGGAGAACAAGTTCATGGGAAGAGACATCCAAAGCGGCATGCAGGAAGGAAGAACAGAGGAAAACAGGAACAGGAAATCAATATTAAAATATCAAATTTCCTAGAACCAAAGGCTGAGTCTCAGTTCCCAACTGAAATACCAGAGTATGCCCTAGAACGAAGACCCAGATCAAAGGGCACTGTTACAGGATAACACGATGCTCTTCCAAGCTTCTAGAGAGAAAAATGGTCACCTACAAAGAATTAGGCTCAAACTGCCTCCCTGCTCTAACCAGCAACAATGGAAGGAAAAAGACAGTAGTGCAAGGCCTGTAAACTTTTGACGGAAAGTTATTTTTAACTTAGAATTCTATACCCAGCCCAACTTTCCACTAGGAGTAGAGTGGTGAAAGCACCATTTTCAGACACAATGAGTCTGACATTTATTTCCCATGCACTCTTTCCAGGAAGTTACCAAAACAGGAATATAAATCAAGAAAGAGAACATGTAGAGTGCTAGAAGCAGGAAATGTCTCGCAAGAGAGAGGGTAAGAGACAGGACAAGTGTGCACGCACCACACTAGAGCAGAAGGACTCCACGGGAGCCAGGTCCAGAGCCTGCATAGAATGCCCTCCGCTTGCTGTACCACCTTTGGAACCTGATGAAACTACTGGAGACAGCACTTCAAATGAGCAAGAGAAGAAATCAAGGAGGGAGATAGAGCCCAGGAAGCGGCCGGACGTGGAAGCACACACCTGTCATCCCAGCACTTGGGAGGCTGAGGCAAGAGGATGGTGACTTTGGGCCAGGATGGGCTACATAGCAAGACCCAGTCTCAAAAAACTAAAAACTTTACAAAAAGAGGTTATTGGGGCTGGATGTACTGCTACAATGTAATCCCAGCTAGCTAGGGGGGTGAGGTAAGAGCATTACAAATTCAAGCCCAATCTGGGCTTGAATAATAAGACCCTGTATCAAAATAAAAAAAAAATTCAGAAAAAGCCTAGAGATATAGCTCAGTATGAAGGTCCTGAGTTCAAAAAGAAAAAATATCATCATATATAGTATAATTATAGTGTAGCATGCTATATATACACACATTTGGATATACAGATATACAAATATATACTATACATAATCATATACAGTACTATTGTAGTGTAACATAATACTATAGTATAACAATTACATACCATACTATTCAATTATAAATATCATATAGGTGTAATAAAGCAAACAATAAATGTTGACTTATGCAAAAATTATTGTGTAACTGTGTGGAGAAGAAAATGAAGAGACAGAGAAAATGATGGTCTAAAAGACTTAATTCCTACTCTACAGTAACAGGAAGACAATAGAGAACATTTAACACCCAAGGCTCACAAGTTGGAAGCTTTGCTGCATTACTCAGCACTGTGGAGAAGAGTATACGCCAAGAGACAAACTGGTCTTTTTGATAAATATAGAAGTTGGATATAATTTGCACATATTTTTTACTCTTCTGTGGGTTTTGTTTTGTTTTGAGACAGGGTCTTGCTATGTAATGCAGACTGGCCTTGAACTCGCTGTGTAGCCCAGACTGGCCTCAAACCCATGGCAATCCTCCTGCCTCAGCCTCCTGAGCGCTGGGATTACAGACGTGCACCACCAGTCCCAGGTAGAAGTTGAGTATAATTTGAAGCCTCAAATGATGTGTCTATTTTGATAAACTAAAGTCTAACTTTCTTTCACAAGGAGGAGCCGGGCACGGTGGCACACACCTGTAATCCCAGCA